CTTGGTAACTGTAATAAGTCACGTGCCATTTTCTACCGGCTAATCGGTGGATTTTTTTTTTGTCAAATTGGTACACACCATTTTGCAAAACATTTTTTATCCCAGGAGCAAGTTAGGCATCAGGAGAATAGATACAACGGTCAAAGTGGCCTCTCTAATAAATGCTTTTCTTGCTGTCATATTAATGTAAATTTATTGTTAACCGTAAAGCTATCTGTAATGTGATCACCGCGGGCACAGAGCCTCGATTTGTAGTGTTACAAGCCCTCAAGCTTACCACCAAGGGGGGGCCGAGTTTTAGATAATGTTATACTTTATGTTATTATTGCCAAGTGGTAGTCAATGCATTGCTGTTTCTAATTTTAGAGTTAACCTTTATCTTAAGAGGGAAACTATTTGTTTACTTGGTTTCCATGTGAACATACGATCAATTTTAGAATGACTACCTATGATGTTTTTATTACAAGCACGCTTCCGGTATTGGACTTATAGTAAAAATACTGAAACTCTTGGTTAAGTATAGAATAAGTAGGAGAATGCGGTATTACCCTTTCATTTGATTGGCTGATGGGACTCACATTAATAACATAGCGAAGCCCGCAATGCCAATCCACAAAAAGTTGATATAATTAAATAGATTTTGAATCTATTTTTCAGTAAGACTAACTGAATTTCTTCCCAGCGAGAATCGTAAACCTCAAGACACTCACTCTAGAGTCGATCTCAGAATCGAAAGGACTTGTTCGAACGTTTACAGAGCTAACTTAGCTATTATTAACTTAATTTGTAGCGAAACGTAACACAATTAACGAAACGATATAAATGGACGCAAATGTTCGACGTGTAATAAAAAAGTTAAGACACAACGTTTCTAGCGAACGCCCTTGTCCATGATGAACCCTAACACCATCCAAAAAGGTGACAGCAGTTTACAGCTTTAGCTATAAACAATGAAATACAACAGAAGTTCAGAAATATTACATTGTATTTTAGTAAATAACTTAGCCAATTGAAAATTACAGATATACGTGTTTTTTTTTAACCAATTAGCTTAGCAGTAGCAGATTCCTATATATTTTTACACTTGTCTAACTTAACCAATAAAAGTCGGTTTATAAGAACTTTTAGAAATGTAACCGTTAGATTCGAACAGAGAGAATAATGTTTGTCAAAACGTTACGTAAGTTTTTAATGATAATACTTTATCACCATTACAACAAGTGGCGTTAGTATACTTAAAAAGACTCAGTTCTTGCCATCTGATATACTAAAACTCTCTTATTGCGTGTGATATTAAATTTGCTTGCTTTATTTGTTATTAAGCACAAAGCTACACAAAGGCCTATGTGTGCTCTGCCCACCACAGGTATCGAAACCCGGTTTCTAGCGTTGTAAGTCCGCAGACGTGCCACTGGGGGGGGGGGGGGCAAATTTGCTTGCAAATGTATTTATTGTAAAATAAAATAGTATATTACACAATTCTTATGTTTATGGCAAAGACAATAGTAATGTCATTAAAGTTGAGATTAAAAAAACAAAAAAAAGAAGAGACAAACACAAGAAACTCTGGTTAAAACACTATGGAGACTTATGGGTTTTAATATTTTTTTATTTGAGTTAAGGTTTCATTTCCCAACACTGTACATGTGCTGTTTGGATTAAAGCGTTTTCAACTATCGAAATGAAGCAATATTACCTATAAGACAATATTACACATTAATTAATTTTCCTGGTTATTCAAGGCAGGAAATGCACGGAAGAAAAAACACAAAAAAAAGTTTAAAAAAAACAACAAATCTGAAACAACTACTCACAAAACATAACAGCATTTAGTAATGGCTAATAATTTACACTGGTTAACATTTTAAGCCTTTTTATTTATCAGATCTCTGTGTATAACAACACTATTGGGAGAATCGATCAGTCTTTCAATATGTCTGTCTTAAGGATTCGATATCTATAAAAATGACAACCAGATTAAAAAAAAAACAGAAACCCACATACTGTAACAAAAGTCAGTAATTAGCTATGTCAGTGGCTTTTAAATCCAATTCCGCATTAATTAAGGGGCTTACTATTAACATACATTTAAATGTCACTTCAGACTTCTGAGAATGAGTTATACATTAAAGTTATTTTTTAAAATGTACCTTTGATTATTATTCTACCTTAACTATGGAAACCTCAAACTGTCTAGTAACCTTGAAACCATAGAAACCTCAAACTGTCGTAGTAACCTTGAAACCATAGAAACCTCAAACTGTCTAGTAACCTTGAAACCATAGAAACCTCAAACTGTCTTAGTAACCTTGAAACCATAGAAACCTCAAACTGTCTAAGTAACCTTGAAACCATAGAAACCTCAAACTGTCTTAGTAACCTTGAAACCATAGAAACCTCAAACTGTCTTAGTAACCTTGAAACCATAGAAACCTCAAACTGTCTAGTAACCTCGAAACCATGGCAGCTTCTTAAGATACTGCTCAACTAGCTTTATCACAAACATTGGAGTTTGAATAGGTCCCTTACATGTTGAACATCCTTCCCTCTAAAGTATGGGTGACATTTTGTGTCATACTTAAAATATTCACGTAAAGATGACCATCAATAGTAGTTATAATACTATTAGGTTTAAAACTTCATACTCAGTGACAAAGTAAATTATGTACTGTCTATATACGTATTCAGAGTTATTTACAATTTTAGATGATTTCAAAAGCCTTCAAAACCCAAGATGCAACAATATATTAACTGCTATATATTCGTGGCAGCACATCCAAGTTTCGAGTGTAACATTCTCATATGTAATGTATTCGGGATGCTTAAGTTTTAATTAATAATCTAATTACACAGAGTTATGTCCTACAGTTACCCCCCACTCACAAAATCCTAGCTTTTGTTGCTTTTTGAAATCAACTGGAAAAAGAAAAGGCATCATAAAGTTTATTTTTTCTTTAGCACATTTTGTTTCTCTGAAAACTCAGTAACTAAAACCAAGAAACATATATCTTTAGAATCATGCACATATTATGGCTCACCAACATATATATATTACCATACTGTTTATTACCACCTGTTGGATGGATAAAGTATGAAAACGCCCCGACCCACCCCCAGTTATTTATCAGTAACTTTATATATATATATATATAAATATATATGTATGTATTGTGACTGAGTCTACAAGGAACCCAAAATTCAAATCAAAGTAGTCCCACCATTCAAAAATATCAATAGGTACAGAAGTTTAATGACCTATGTTTATATTCTGTATCTCACTGGCTGCGAGGTGACATGGCTAAAGTATCCGAGAGACTGGTTATACGGTATGATATTGAGAGGGTTATCAGTTTTATTTATCTCAGATCATAAGATATACATCATAAAAAAAGGTCAATACCTTAAACCATAGGTGAAATATCAAAGTTACTTTGGCAAGAAGAGACAACCCACGAGAAAAGTGACACTTGTTAATATGGATGCACTGCATTCTAAAATATGTAGATAAGTACAAGTATAGGATGGTGAAAATCAGTAAATGTAATATTCAACATCATATCATTACATGTAGTAGCAACAGTTACAAGATACATTTTTTAATATTTGGCAGCGAGAAACATTTTTTGTACTAAAGTCTTGAAAATTCTTAATAAAGAAAAATGCTAGATTATTTGACACCTTTGGCCATCAACTAAGTTATGATGTATTAATGTTCGGTATTTAATTACATTTCATATTTATAACTTATCTACAAGTAGTACGTGAGTGTGGCTACTAATGTTCAATCTTCTAATTTTGTAGTTATATTCTGGTTTCTATTTACTTTTTAAACAATTATACTTGTCATCAGATATTAGTATTAGGCCTATTATAGTTTTAACACTGCATTCTTTATCTGGTCCCTTAGGGACTTTCAAGAATTACAAAAGTCTATAATAATAGGATTTCAAACATACTACGTTCACCACATCCATTGCCGACAACAAGTTTCCCTCAATCCAAATAGGATTTCAAACACACTACGTTCACCATATCCATTGCCGACAACGAGTTTCCCTCAATCCAAATAGGATTTCAAACACACTACGTTCACCAGATCCATTGCCGACAACGAGTTTCCCTCAATCCAAAGTTCATCCACAATATTCAAACACTATTTATATAAACGATTTGGAATATCATTATCATACAATCTTCTAAATTTTGAAAATCCATACGGGACTAAATAAAGAAATCAGTGTCGAAAAACTATAATATCTGATGACAAGTATAATGAAATGTTTAAAAAAAAAGCCATTCAACCATAAAAATTGTTGTTGTTGTAAAAAGACAGTTTATATAAATAGTGTTCTGACCACTACTGTGTTTTTGTTGTGTCCCAGCTGGCCCGACGAGCTCTGGATTTAGCAAGACACATCATCGACGTTGGATATGACTAACAGTGTGGTTGGAATACTATCATCGTACATCTTTCTAATTCTTGAAAATTCCAAAAGTTCTAGGTAAAAAAATGCAGTGTTAAATATATATTAGGCCTAATACTCTGATAACAAGTATTATCAAATATAACCATGCTTTGCCAGCTTGAAAAAGACATTCACACCATACCTACTTTTTTGTCTTTGAAGGTATTAAGTTGTTTCCTAGGACCATTATCTTGTACTGATTCTAACACATTGAATATCAAGCTGCTTCAAAACAGAATTCTTAGTTGTGCTAATTATATAATTAAATTTTCATCCCAATGTGACGAATGTTTGAAAAGTAACTTGTTTTATAACAATGTGAGATGCAGCTTCACGTATAATAGCATAACCATGTCATAATAAGAACTTAAGTTTTCTTATTCAGTTATGGTCCATTTTATAGATAGGTACATGATGTCAATACCACTTACTGATATGCTTATGTGGTTTGTTTTGAATTTCATGCAAAGCTACACAAGGGCCATCTACGCTAGCTGTCCCTAATTTGGCATTGATAGACTAGAGGGAGGGCAGCTAGTCAACACCACACACACTGCCAACTCTTGGGCTACTCTTTTACTAACGAATAGTAGGATTGACAGTAACTTTATAACAACCCTACGACTGAAAGGATGAGCATGTTTGGTGATGAGGATTTGAACCAGGGCTTAAGTGAGTGAGAGCTAAGACTTATATAAGTGCGTGTATACACATTTTTTCTTCTTTATTCACATGTATATTTATATTTTGAGCATATGACATTTTAATAATTCTAATGGATAGTTTCTATCACTAGTTTAATTATCATCATAAAGACAAAGGAAATATCTCCTTAAAAACCAAAAATAAGAAGTATTTATTAAACTTTCATTTTGGAAGTAAATATCACAGGTATTTTTTCTCAATAGTATCCTGTATAAGTTGAACCTTTCTTCATTAAAAAGAATAAAATTTTATTAAACGAAGAAAAAAAAAATTTCATTGATAAACTTATTTTGGCATTAAATTAAACCTTATTTACTAACTTATAAACGTCGGGCAACAAATAAATAATGAATCTATAAAATAAAAAATGGCATTAAATCAAATCCTTATTATCTACAAGAAACACGATGACATTGTTATAGCAAGATTTTAGTTGTCTACATAATACCACTAACATAATATTTTCTCGCATTACCAAATTGTACGAAGCTTTTAACAAGCGTTTGCAATAAATGCGATTGTTTAGAACAACACTTAATAAGCTCTACATAAAGAGAGGTCACAGTAATAAGTCGGCAACTGCTTAGGCAGTGGCTTCTAAAAAAGTATTTAAGAATAATTAATGAAAGAAGAAATATGTACCTTTAACAAAGGTTCAATGTCTCCATCTCGTTAAGATGTCAAACTGGATACATTTAAGTACCCATTATTATCAACTCAGTTACTGTAATTAACTAATGCCACAAAATAAAATTTAACAAAAGTCCATCACCTAAAATGTAGCTAAAGAAACTATTTTTAAACTTTATAAAACTAAATATGCAGATTAATCATGGAAAAAAAACTCATATATTGTAAACAAAATATTAATTTTGTTAGTACGTACGCACTCAGTTATGTTAAAAGATAATTTGAAGTCTTGTTAGAAACTCTTTACATACCTGTAAACCTCTTTGTTATAATACTAAGATATGGTAAAAAAAAAAGACTTGCATGTTAAATACATAAATAAATAAAACGTAATTTTCTCCAAATAGGGAAGGAGCAAATGTGGCTTTCACAATTCATCTGTTTGAGTCGATGATGGAGTGCAACTGCTATTGAGCTTAACTGTTCTCTTCGTAAATTGCACTTGTTATACTTCCAACCGCTAAAGTGGTAGTAGAATGATACTGATCACTGAAGGAAGAAAAGCTGGAGAATGGAGTAGTACGTCGAGACTCGCCATAGATACTGTTAGGGTGGTTATCAAAAAGTAACGAGGAGGTGCTGGTTGTCTCTCCATGGATCATAACTGGTGGACCTTCTCTACGCTGAAGCAAAGAGTTGAGACTTGCGAGATTAATATCCCAATCTTTGAACCCGTTCAACAGAAAAATGGCACAGATGATGATAAGAAACCCCGAGATAGTACCCAGTACGTCTCGAGTACTCATATTTCCCCATTCTCTAAACAGTATAGCAGATGCAACAATCACGAAGGAAGTGAAAAAGACGTAATAGATGGGAGTAACAACAGATGTGTTAAAGAGATCCAGAGCTTTGTTAAGGTAGTTCATCTGGACAGTCACGCAAATTACAACAGAGAAGATGCAAAACCAGGTTATCCATTGTGTGAATTTGTTTGTACCCGCAACAGTCTCACGCAGAGCCAATCCCACACCCTTGCAGCCCATAACTGATAAAGAGCCAATCACGGAACAGATGATAATATGGACAATTACATTGGAATTACCATACCTCGGAACACAATAAAAGATCATCACCAAGCTCACTACAACCACAAATATAACATAGTTAACAAATCCTGAAAGAAATAATAAAAAAAAGTTACTTCACTTCAATATTTAAAGACGTCATCTAAAGCATCGTATAAATAATAATTACAGCATGATAAGTATAATCATTGCAATAAAAAAAAAAAAAGAATTAAACAGTCTACAATCCGTTAAACAACTTTTGTCAGAAATAGGTCATTTGTCTAAAATATTGACGACTTTAATATTTTTTCTTTCATGGTGATTTCCTTTAGTTTTCAGGAAAAATACATTAACTGTAAATAATAATGTAATCAGAGGTTCTATTTTGTTACAGTTGTTTTATTTATTTGATTAAATATTTGGTTAAAGCTGTATCATTAACTTATTTGGGACTGTTACGTTTTAAACAAAAGTTAACGGTAATATTTTAATTTGGAAGCGATACTAACCCTGAAAGACTAGTCAATAGGAATGGTTTCTTAGAACATATTAAAATGTAAATACACAAAAGTATCAGCTATTCTTTTTGTGAGACTAATATAAAGAATTAAATGTTTTTGTCAGAAATGGATTAAACAATAACAAGAAGAAATAATTAAAGAAATAAGGGGAAAGAAAAAAATTTAATTATATTGAAATAAACACATTCTACAAGAGCCAAAAACCATTTCATTCTTACATTCTGGTGACTGTGGAATAGTAATCTTTAGCAATAAAACAGATTAAGATAAGGATCAAAGCTTAAAAACAGAGAAAATGGTTTGCGTCAATGCCAAAAAAATCAAGAGTGGAGTACACAAAAGACAGCCACTATACCTGTATCTATATATATAGACTAGAAGGTATTAACAGCTTAAAATATTCAACAAATGGTTTCCCTCACCATTGTAATAATTGACCAGCTGCCTGTGAATAATGGTCTTAATGACATCATACAGTAACTTGAAGTACTCCTCAGTAACCATTGGATTAAGAAAAAATGACTAGGCATATGAAATCACCCAATAGGTGTATCACATTACACAATCGTTTATTATCAGTTACTACGGTGGTAGGTACTGCAAAGAACTAATAATAAAAATAATTTCAGAAACAAATATTTTTTTTTACTTTCAGTGCTACTAAACAGACTGTGCATTTTTTTAACATGGTAAAGGAAAATAAGAGAACTTTAAAACACATAATTACCAGACTGTAAAGACTTTTCTCCAAGTTCCTCTACACTGGCAACGTTACCTTCTTTTGGAGCATGTAATACCATAACGGTGGATCCAAGAACACAGAGCAAACATCCAGTTTTACCAAGCAGGTTAAGTCTCTCTCCCAGAAACCTTGATGCAAGAAGTGCACTGTGGTGTGCAGAGTAATATCAGGTGAAAAACATTTTTATTACAGAAAAATAATAATAAAAGTCTACAAATAATTGTTGAAAGCAGTTTTACAGCACCTACACAATACTTACAAAAAACAACAACAAAAGAACATCACAATCTAAAACCTATTATGGTAATTAGATTACCCAGCAATGAGCAAGCAAAATGGTTCAAAAATCAGATTACAAGTTCTTCTTGAAATTCATAAAAAAACAAATATCTTAGAAAGTCAATACTGGATTAGTAATTACAATCAGATAACTCCACCTATCAACAATCTATTTTTAAAGTTAATTCTTGACAGGTTCTCAGAAATTTCTTAGTATTACAGTGTATACGAACTCCTTACAATGCTAACTATACAAACAATTAGGTTTGGTTTGCAAAGAACACCAAAAAAGTCTCAGATGTACTGAGTTAATAAGAATAAAAAAGGGCAAAAATGTTCCTAGTAAATGCCAGTATATACTATTATGCTAAGTTCTTATATATTTTGAATTACCTGAATTAACTATTAAACAAGTAATTACCCGAACAAAACTGATTTTATAAATATCAGTGAAACATAATTTTAAACTCCTATATATATATTTTTTTTTCTGTTAGCCAATCAAATCTAATATATTGACAATAAGTTTTAACAAATTAAAAGGTACAACAGATTTTTCTTTAGAAAAGTTATCAAAACCAATGCTTTTCCTACAGATAAGTATGCAATTCTTATCTACAAGGAAAAAAACAAACAAACATCATGCATGAACAATTATTAATTATACCATGTAACTTGAGCATTTGGTCTCTTGGTGAAGCCATTGCACCTCAATAACATTTAAACTTAAAAAACAAATTAGCTGCTCGCTCATTTTGTTTATTGTTTTCAACGTACAATATCGTAGACCATCTAGTGGTTTATAACCGTAAAGTTACAGGATCAAAATGTGTTTACCATTTCCATTAATTAACGGTGTGTTTGAAGCTTTCAAGAGATAGTTTGCAATAATAAATTTACAAAAGAAAATCCACAAACTTCAGCATGCACTTAGTATTAGCATCTACGTTACCTGACTAAAACACTCAGTGCTCCAAGAGGTGTAACAAGAGTGGCAGGAGCAAATGCATACGCAGCAAAATTGGCACCTTCTCCAACAGCCACTATAAATATGAAAAATATTCTAAGAACAGATATTTGTACAGCATCCTGCGATCAGTACACGTAAACCAGGCAGTCGTTAAGCTTATACATTACATGGTATTATACGTAGCAACTTCTCTTGCAATATCTTCAACATAAACAACCACTGATTCGGTGTCACGTGCAAACCAGGAAGCTAATTACATACTCTCCTGAAGTACCTTTAAAGTAATCACGATACTGTAGCTCGACAAACAACTGGAACAGAGTACTATATTCTCTGACCACTTTCCTCGATTTCCACCTGCTGCCACAGAAATGGTAGCAAACTGGATCTAATTGGGATCTGCTGGACCTCGAGCAGTTATTTGTCCTTATTATTTCCTGACTTTGAACAACAACAGCATACTTGCCAACTTTTCAAAATTCTCACGTGGGAGATTTTCCGTGACTCGTGGCAAATCAAGCAATGGTTTAGAATGATAAATATGTCTTATTTGTATAATTGGTTTTCGTTGGCCAAGAAGAAAGTGAAGCCCGATTTCCAGAATGAATCACGTGTTTACTCAACTGATTTCGCTATGGAGAGCAAATGGTTGGCTGACATTTACCAGGACATTTCTGTTGTGTGAAAAAGTTAATTATAGTTACACAAATCGGTAGATTTCCAGAAGGAATTGGTTGTACGTGCCTAAAATTGGTGGAAATGACCAATTTTTAAAACCCGATTGGCAGATTGGGTCAAAGGTCCAAATTAGGAAACTCCCACCCAAATCGTGAGAGTTGGCATGTATGCAACAGTTCAAAATTAAGAAATTTTTCTCCTCAGCTGACCTTGGTATTTCGAAAGCCCTAGTTTCGTGTAACTTATTTAACAGAATATTTGTTTGTGAAAAAAAACGAAATAACTAAATTTTCTAATGACATAATACTCTCAATAATTGATCACTCCACCTAACTTTGGGCATGACAGCTTTACGATGGCACATTTTGTAATGGAAACTACACTGTAGGGCTATTATCAGGATGCATAGTCATCAGACAGGACATCACCAGAGAAATGAGATATGGACTGCAACAAAATTGTAAGACTTTAAAATAACAGCACTATACATTTCAAACATTTAAGGTAAGAGACTTTCTTGATATTAAATTTTATATTATTAAAAAATTTATATTTATAGTGCATATTAGATGGATTTCCACATTCGGATAATACAGTTATTAAAATAATGACCTTTACACTCCAGTTAATTATAAGAGAACTTTCATTTTAACCCCGACGCTTCACCTTAGCAGGTTCTTCAGGGCTAGTACATAAAACTGTTACTTTATAGATTGTCTTTACATAAGGCTTCAATACTAGCAAAAAGGCATTGCCTTGATAGCTGTAGTGACATATCCACCGCTATGTCAAGATTCTTTTATGTAATATCCCTGAAGCTGCTGCTAAGGTGAAACATCGGTTAAGATAAAAGTTCTCTTACAATTAATCGGAGCGTAAAGGTCGTTTTTTCTAACTTTATATCATGCAAGAGTATTAAAACATTCAAAAATCTAATAAATATAATGAATAATGTTAAAAGTATGAAAATACAGAAATGTTACATTGTATTGACTACGCATTTATGTTACAGACAAAAGAAGACACACCAAATGACTAATAAAACCTATGGACAACAAGGGACCATTTAGTCCTTGAAGGTTGTCCTTGCACACCCATCCTTGGGCAAAGTAAAAATGTAAATCCCCCCTTTACTTCTTAGGAAATCACTGATTTCCCTCTTAACCTCCCATAAAGTGCAGGCCTCCACTATCACCTACTGCAACCCATTCTGTAAGTCAATCAACGTGTTCGAAAAATAAAACTGTTTAACTGGAGCCTAGCCTTTCACAAGTCTTCAACATGTGTCCTATTATCTTCATAACACAGCGTCAAGAAATCAGAGACCTTTATTCTATCAATCCCCTCGATAATATTGTAAACTTCAGTTAGACTGATCGCCTTTTATTCTTCTTTTCTCAAGAGAAAATAAGACTAAAAGATCTTAACCTATCACTGTAAGATAACCCTTTCACTCCTTGCATCATCTTATTAGCTCTCCTTTAAATCCTTTCTTAGATAAGGAAACCAAAACTACACACACACTATTTCAAGTGAGGCCTAACTAATAATTTATATAATTACCTCTCTTAATTTATTGTCAATATGTACAGAAATACACCTAAAATTCTTTTGGGTTTACTACTACAAGAAAGAACTGTTTCAATGGCTTGAGTTACTTATCCATCACAGTGCCAAGATCCTTTACTTTAGCCATGCTACCGAGTTGGTTCTCATCTATATCAAACATATGACTGAAATTTTAATAGGCCAAATCCATTTACCTTGCACTTTTCAACAGTGCTATATATATATATATCAATATTTTAGATATGGGGGGTGGGGGATCTTGCCAGGATTTCTTCTGTTACTTCATTTTGTAACTTGAAAAACAAGTAACAACATTTATCACAATGACTAAAGAAGAATGTATGAAGTATTAGGTGTACTTCCGCAGGGTCCCTGAAAGTGTTCTGTTTCAAGAGTAAATAAAACCAAAATTTAGAGTAACAAGTATTCTTATTTTGTGCTTTTGAAGTTCATATGTCATGCTGTGTTGAAGTGTATAGAGTATATAATTCTTCTCATGATTCATGGCATGTGCACATTTTACTAATGTCATGACAGTACAAATCACAATGTTAACTGTTACTTATTTGGCATCATTTTAGTGTCCTCGTGCAAAGATATACGTGGGTTATCTACACTAGCCATCCCTAATTTGGTAGTGAAAGACTAGAGGGAAGGCAGCTAGTCATCACCACCCACAACCAATTCTTGGGCTACTCTTTTACCATCAAATAGTGCAATTGACCGTAACATTATAACGCCCCCACAGCTGAAAGGGCGAGCATGTTTGGTATGACGGGGATTCGAACTCACGACCCCTCAGATTGATAGTCAAGAGCCCTAACCACCTGGTCATGCAGGGCCCAGCTCATATGTACGTAGTGGAGCTGAGGAATAATACATTGCTTTAAAAAACATTAAAACTTGAAGTGTTATTGCATGTCATACATCACAGGTTACAACATTTCAACTACTTTTTATTAGCAGAAAGTCCAACTGTTGTGTTCTTTTAATAGCTTTTCACTAAGTAAGAAGTACAAATGTGGTCTTGCCATTCTTACAACTTAAGAACGATACTACACATTTATATCCAAATAAACCATGATGGCTAGATATTGAAGCTGTTTGGGTTGCAAGTATTTCCCACGCACATATGCCGGATGACGTTTATATAGTAAACTTTGTTCATATGCAGCGCAGTCTGTTGGCATGCAACCATTGAATAACATATATTATTAATAATTTACACGTTTTCTAGTAACACCCCCCCACGTATGCTGAGATGCAGTGTATAAATACTCAACTCCCAAGTTAGGTAGTGAATTTTAGATAGTATTGTCAATTGGACAGTTGTTTGTTTACAGGTATTACCACAGAAGATTTGATCTACCGGTGCTTAGGTTTAATATTTAAAATGAGTTAACATGTACACAATATGTCCAGTAATGTGATTGTCTCCATCATTCGTCAAGTGTTGAAGGTTTGTCTTTATGTGTTAACACAAACTTCCTGGGAATTTAACACGTGTCTTTATTGAACTAGCCGAGGCTATTGTAGAACTAGTGGCTGAAAAGGGTAAGCCGTCGGCACAGTAGGAAAGGATTATCACTACATACGTATAAATAGAAAGAAAGAAAAACTGATCAACATAAACACAGTTTTAAAAACAGATTTCTTTGGCCTTACATGCTTTCTTTTATATGTAAAAAAACATTTCAGTACATTTGCATACACTGATATGCCACAAAATAAACTTACTTTTGCAAATTTGTATACACTTAAGTATACATTTACTTAAGTATACAAGTATTTAATACATTAAACCACACATACTTGATAGAAATCCAGCCCACCATAGCCATTCCTTCAGATATCCATATCCTCCTGAACCTGATAAAATAAAAACATGGGTTTATAGAGACCAGAAATTCAATTACATAATTTAGTCTTTTTAAATTCACACAAGAAAATTCCCAAGACTAGATAATATACCTATTTTAAAGCATCAGTATCAAACAACTGTAAAGTTATTTATAACTACTAATAAAAATGCTGGAGCGAATTATAATATTAAGATACTTAAACAATCGAAACTGTATAATAAACAATTAATATTTTATTTAAAAACTGATCAAGGGTCATAAAAGTCACTCTACACGTTTTGACGTCGTTCATGTCATCCTCAGGAGTGTTAAAAACAAATGTTGTGCAACATATAATTACAAAAAAGGCCCTGGTCATGTGACTACTAGTTTACATAATTAAAAAATGTCACACCATCTACTTACTCTCTAATTTTCTAAACCTTCATCTTTATTTAACCTGTTGCAGTGAATTAGTTTTATGATGTTCATCACAACAAATTATCAATATAGAAAGATCTTTTCTTATTCTTTACATGTCCGATAATAAAGATTTTAAAACCTACCTGCTCTAGTCTTTCCTTCTCGACTTATCTTTAAAAGCCCTTTCTTTTTTATGATAAAACTGGCTCCAATAAATACACTAGAACTAACGGCCAATGAGAGTCCAATGTAGAAATTTCGACTAACTTCAATATTATTGTGGTCGAGAGCGATTTCGCTATAAAAGTCTGCTTCTCTAGTAACTCTAAGCTTTGTAATTAAGCTGCTTTTAGAATTTACTAAAGCACTTTTTGATAATTGGTTTATGGAGTTCCTTTCCATTGTTCTGAAATAAAAAAAAATTTTTATAAACCATAAATAAAATCAGTTTTCTATAACATGTTTATGAGCAAGCCCTAATGAAGTATACATTAATGGTACAAACTTATTTTGACCCAGTAAATTTCATGTACACTTAAAAGGAACAGAATGTTGGTTGACCCATGAAGGTCACCTATTAATCTTCAAACTGGGAGAAAAAGAACAACAAAAATTACAAAATAATGACCTTTTTTTGTCTGGAAACTAAGTAAAACACCCTTGTAACACACACGTACAATTCCTCTTTCTTTAACACAAAAAACATTCCACAAATTAGCTACTTCAAAAATGAAGCCATTTCATCAGAGGACAAGCCTGTACCTTGGCTTCAAAAGCTTTTAATGATGCCAATCCTATCCTTTCATACAGATGCATATTTTAAGGACAAAAAGGATCCTGTTGATTTATTTAGGCCATCTCATTCACTTCATTAAATTCTAAAGTAACAGTAAAACACACAAAGCCAGCCCTTATCTCTTGAATATTTACCAAACCTTCCTTTAAACTCCCCTAAATTAACTGCACCTACCACATCTGAAGGCAACCCATTTCAAAGGCCAACTACCCTGTTAAAAAAATAAAGTTGTCTTAGTTGAAGATGACTCCTACCCTGCCAAAATGTAAATTTGTGCTCTTTAGTCTTATCATTTTCACTATTAGATATGATAAAAGATGACATGTCAGCACTGTCAATTCCCTTCACAATCTTAAACACTTCATTCATATCTTCTCTAACTCATCTTTTTTTTTTGTCAGAAATCATACAAGCTGAAATTTCAACTTCATACACTTTCCATTTGTGAACTAACTCTATAGGTTATTAAAAAATGTAAACTGTACAAAAACAATTATAAACTGAGTGTTAAGTTTTTAATTGTACTGGTACAGAGTTACCATTTTCACATATTTTCAACAGAATCTTTTAAGACTTACATCAAAAAAGAATTGGCAGTTCAAAACACCTAGGTAAGGTTAACAACTTTTTTAACTAGTAACCACTGGTTAATGAATAAATTAGTTTTGTACTGTACAAAAACTAGTGTTCTTTCTAGATTTTTATTTTACATAAAAGTTTTCAAAAACCAATACTTTTATAAAAATAAATAGTTTCATTTTGAGTTTACTTCCTGATTAAGTATTATTTTATTATAAGTTACAGCTTTTACGGTAAGGTTATTTTTTTGAACATGTAGGATGTTTTGATCACTGATGCAATCATTCTTAAGTACTAGTGATAGAAATCTTGTACCTGTTTTAAAAAATCATCTTCCTTACTGTAAAAGCTGCAACTTGTAATAAAATAATTTTATGAAAATTGTATGAACTGCCTTAAGATGTTATATTGCTTTTCTGGAATAATAAATTATAGGTGGCAGTAGAGTCAAATATACAGAAGATTTACTCAGACAGCTGTAGGCCTGACAATAATTAATAATAATATGCAGCTTTTTCTTAGAATTGCCCTATTTTTGGAATATTTTACCTGATAAAGTGAGCAATCCTATTACTATAAATATTAGTAATAACTTAAATCACGTCCACCCATACACTAAGACTATATTTTATACACCAAAAACAATACAATACAATAGAAAAATTTCATTATATGCACTAATGCAGTAATAAAACCGTGTTGCCAAGGTTTATTGATTTCTTTACTGCATTAGATCATTTATAAAGCATGAATCATATAAATTAGGCTAGAGCACCGCCGTTACTTTGTTAATATCACAAAATAAATTTTACTCTTCTACATTTTTAACAAAATTAACGTAAAACGTATTATCTGATTATTGTCACAATTAATAGTAATAATATTAAAACAGAAGTGTTCGACCTCGAGTTTCGTAAAAATAAAACTAAAAGTTCAAACAGGATAAGCCTAGCTTTAGTATTTAAAATATCATACACAAGGCTTTAACAATTATAATTCTATAAGTAATAACATAACTTAAGTTTACTTAAATGCCTGGCCTGTATTATTACACATGCATAACATTTTCATGATATAAAAAAATATGAAATACATTAAAATTACAAGAAAATTAAATTAATAATAAATTCAGACTAGGCTAAACTTGCCGGTACCTACACTTTAGGTCGCAGACTGTGCTGCCACTAGTTATATTAGTAATTAGCACAAGTATTAATTTTATTCACTATCACGATAATTTAAATGCTCATCCAAGAAATATTTTTGGATTAGACGACAAAGGAAAATAAGTTATATAAACTTAACTTCATATGACAGATGGAGTTAATAAAACAGAAAATGATAGGTCAAAGAGCTACATGTTGTTCCTCAAATGTTAATTCTTCATTAAAAAAATATTTTGAACTAGTATTTCGTTATGAATATATTCGTAAAGATTTATATTTTTGAATAGAAAATCATAACAAGGCGAGCATCTAGTGTCTCTTGAAGTATTGTGTTCAGTCTTGGGTTGCTTGCTTTTGGAAAGACATTGAACTGTTGGGAAAATTGTTCTAGGATGCTACCTGGAATAGAAAGGCTGCCATAAGCAGACAGGTTTACAAATTTTTAAATTATTTAGTTTTGAAAAAAGGCGAGTGAGAAACTTAGGTGTTTAAGATTGTTAAAGGAATTTATAGTGTTTATGCATAATATTTTTTCGAATAATAAGATAAGGAGACGCAAATACAAATTTTGGCAGCTAAATTTATAAGCAGCTATGATAGTGTTACGTCTCCGTTTGTTAATTAACTTTCCGTAAC